GACAGAGATGAAATTTTCATGGAACAGTGAGAAATACTTGAGCCTAGAGCAAATTCAGGCTGGGTTAAAGAGAGAGGTAAACTGACCAAGTGTTCCTATTATACCTTGGTTGGATCCACTATCATCAAGTTTACAGTCATCTCCCTCTGATGGTAAGGCTGTTCCAGTCCCTTGCCTGTGGCTAGGGGGATCTGCCAGAGGCTTAATCTGACTAGCTATTCTGCAGATGGATTGGGGGTTCACATTGTCCTCTATAGCCTTCTACAAAGTGGGTGCTCACAATTTACACTCTGATACTTTACCCTTTGTCATATTTGGAGTTTGTTATTGTCATCTTTGGATCACACAGGCTGGTGTGCTTCTTGGATGTGGACGTACTTGTTACTTGATGCCCCGCTTAGATGGCAGCTTGTTTTGAATACAAGAGTTTAAGACCCCAGACACTATTCCAATCGATAGCCAGGCACCATCTGCTTTCTTCACCACACTTTGCTGTAGCACCTTATCTTTGGTGATCTCTTCAGGAAGGCAAGTATTGAGCAGGGCCATGCTATAAGAACGGACTGTTCTTGGATTGGGGCTAAAGTTAAGTGGGAGCCCAGAATCCATCTGCTTGTTCACGGGTTGTGAATGCCTCTGGTTTACTTGGGTGGTCATATTATGACAAAAACAAGAACCCAATAACAACAAACAAACAAAAGGGAGAAAGACAAAAAAAACATTTGTTAATCATGGCCCTGGGTATAAGGCAATTGTATTGATAACATCACTAATTTATTGAATGGCATCGGATTTAAGGTACGATCGATATGAGGAGTTTATGCGAGCATACGCCAACTGTGAGTTGCAATCCACGAGAGGTTGCTTTGTTGAGATAGGTCTGCAAATACTCTTCTTCTTATGATGGTACCAGCCACTGCATTAGGGCCCATTCTAATCCAATCTGACCTCTTCTCAACTCGATTGCAAAAGATCCCATTTCCAAAGAAGATCACATGAAATTGAGAAGAACGCTGTACAACTTTTAATATATAGCATGACGTTTCCTCTTCATAATTTGTCCATGACACCCCGGATCCTGGGGGAACAAAACAATGGAGATTTCTACTTCTTAAATTATTTCAATGGAATGACAAAACTAGTTTTACAACCTCTTGTGATTGTAAGAAATTTTGGGGAACAAGCTTCTGAGAGCTCCTGACACCAGACTATCTCAAAGAGCAAAAAATGAATCAAGTTTATCATTTTCTTTTCTTTTTCAAAAAGCATAAAATGCCTTTTTTTCCTTGCTGGGAATTGTATGAGAGTTTAAATTCTAAGCACCACGTTTGCAGAAGGCTAAAGTTTGCAGTGAAAATCCCAATCCATTTTTGAGTATCCACTTGGATGAAGTTTCCATTCAATTCCTTCAGACCTTTAACCACCAATGTGAACAGACTTGCCCCAGGCAGAGTGTATTAGAAAGTGGATTACTACCGCTCTGCTTTCTAATCCAGGGCATGGCAGCCTAGCATTTAGGGACTTGACTGGGTGTGTCCTTGATGGAAGGTAGGGTAGTCACTAGGTGGCAGAGTCAAGCATCACATTCGGAGAGCCCTGGGCCACACCTGTAAGCTCTTCTGTCTAGCATCATCTATGTGCCCAGTCCTGGTCTCATCCCTACATCTGTAGTCCAGTTCAGAACTGCGACGTAGTGATTCTCTGCCAATCGTGTTTTGGTGACAATCTCCTTCACCCTCTCATGTCCTATTCAAGTCATCGGTTCTTGGTAAACCCTTGTTTACATCCTTGTGACTTCTTGTTAATGGTTTCTCTCATCTGGATAATGTATGTTTGTCCCATTTAAGACAATAAATTTTCTCCATACATTATATTGGATATTGGACGGCTCTCTTTTGTCCCCGACAACAGAAGAGCCAGGATTTTTTAGACTCTTGGAAGCATTCTAGGCCAGCACCTTAGAGAACACAGGACCCCCGGGCTCTGCACCCCCACTAGATTCTTTTCTAAGCTATAATGGAGCCATGTGATTGAGTTCAAGACACACTCTCTGCTTGAAAACGTTCTTAGCATTGTATGGTTCAATAAACTGGGCCTTGTGGCAGTTTTTCTACCTGAAATAGCTTTACCGTGTCTAGAGAGTTCTGCCCCAATGACTCATAAAAATGTGCAATACCTTTCAGTTTAAGATCATGAAACACAATCACTGCTTACACTTCCCCTCCCAAAGGAAACACTCCACACCTCACTCTCTGGTCTTAGCCATGACCTTGGTTGAAAGGACTCTTTCTCTTAGTGTACTTTACCTAAGGGATCAAAATCTGGCCAAGGATTTTAGATTTTCAAGGGAACTGTTGAAGCTGTTGAAGAAAATGTTTCAACTTAACTCTTAATCCTTCTCTGAGAAGAAAAACTCCCAATAAAGACTGTTCTGGGAAAAGTTTAAATAACTAGCTAAGCAATAATTAGCCTATAGGATGCCAACGTACACACTTAGGAAACCAACTCAAGCCATTTCCTGCCAATAAACTGAATGGCATCCAATCTTTTGAAATTTCCCCTTGGGGAAATCCCCTAGCAGTTTCTACTGTAGATAGCTGATCAAGATGGTCCTGGGCTAAGCTCATCTCTTCGGAGAGGTGCTTCCTGTTTGTGAATGGTTTCTCTGCTCAATAGAACCTTTTCATTCTAACTAATTAGACTCTGTCCCCTTAGAACAGGACAAGTCATTCACCAGGAAAGGAAAGCAGGAAAACCGGGGCTTTTCTCTTTTACCGAGTTCATCTTCCACACATCACACTGGAAATCCCAGCCTGAATTATTTTTGTAAAAAGGGAAAGGATAATTGTATTTTTTCTTACTTTTACTGGGGGCGCTTACATCTCTTATTACAATCCATACATTCATCCAGTGCGCCAAGCACACTG